GAATAAAGTTCTACAGCTACTTAAGTCTTATAGATACATGCTTAACATTGTGTCTAACATTCACATTATATCTAACATTTAAAATTCTACCATATGCACAATTTTTGTGCAACATAGAAAAATAGTTTGTTCGTGATATAGCCATAGAAAAAAATTTGTACTTACCAATGTTTCGCTATCAATGCGTCCTTTGTCTCACTTGACGCTTTCCGACTTTAATCGTGAATCGATCCTATTGCATAAATTTTTTATCATTAGATTCAAAATCTAAGATCAATAATACATTTAAAATTCAATTCGGAAAGGTCTACAATACTTATGTTTGGTATTCAATCCTAAAATATTTCCTATCTCAAGAATTTGCACTAAAACCGTGCATGTTCCTCAATTATGGCCAAATTTTCAGTTTCGGTCTAAAACTGTGAATTCTTATTGTGTTCGGTTTCTATACATCACCGATTATCGAATCACCTTACTTTTCACACTTAAATCCCTCATTCCTCTTGAAATTCGGTTTTAGTTAAAAAACTCAAACTAAATTTCGGCAGAGTTCCGCTTATTTCTGCATGTTTCCCGAGCTAACCTTAGCTCGTTTTATCCATTGTTTCCACCACCAAACATAAATCACATACTTTCTCATTCCATTTTATCATCAACCATATCACAATTCCTAGGGTTTCACCCAAGTTCTCACAAAATTTTCCATGGCCAAATAAGCTAGAACAAAGTCAAATAATCAAGAATTTCATCCTTAATTCACTAGATTTTCGAGTCCTTAATCATCACAAGCTAATCATCATCTTAAGTAAAAAAAAATTTTATGCTTTTCACCCTTCTTCCACGTGCATCCATGGTAGGGAAATAACAAGAAAAATTTGAATTCTCACCTTAAAAATGAAGAACGAGCTTCTGTGACGTGAACTAGCGGTGTCGTTCCGTCAATTTCGATCAAAACTCACTTTTCTCACTTTGGATAAATTTTTATCTTCCTTTCTCTTTGGCTGAGTTCCCTCTGTTCTTAACATGAAAATGAGCATTTTTCACGTTTTACCTCCTAAGTGAACCGACCATTACATGAGCAAAAGTCCAAAAGTGAAATTTTGGCTTTTCCATGGACTTTTTGCTAAATTCCCAACATATCCCACAAATATCTCTCATTTTCCTTCTCCATTAAGTCTTGGCCGGCCACCACTAATGTCACTTGGTATAATCTCAGCCCTTCCTCCCATTTTCACTTTTAATCTCAACCATTGATAATTTTATAATTATCCTATTTTAGTTTAGTTTAATTCCTATCCGGTATGTATTTTATACGCATTTTTCAAACAGATGGTCAACTTAGTCAACTTTGACCATTCTTGACTAACTTTTCGAGGGTGACATTTTTGTCAACTCTTGGTTAACAAATTTTGACTCGGTCAACTCAAATCAGTCGAAACCCCAATTTTTCTCAATTCGGCCTTCCGAACCCCTTTTCCGTCTGTTTTTCGTTCCGATTGTTTCTAAAACCCTAGAATTAATGTCTTTCAATTCTTTTCCATTTCTAAAACTTATCATTCATGTGTTTACCCACTTGTGGGCTTAACACAACATTCAATACTTCTTTCTTAAATATAGTCTGAAAATCGGTAACTGCATCGTAGTTCAGAAATTTCTAAACTTTAGCTTATAACTTGTTATTCCATACTTATATCAGCAAATACTTATCATAAAAGTATTTATATTAATGATACAAAGGATTCTAGAGAATATTATCGTATACAATAATTCTAATAAATTTCTCGGTCATGACATCTAGTGTCCCTTTAGTGTGGTGTACTGCTGTGGCAAACTTCAATCTCCTAGCCTTGCCATAGATGCAGTGCTCACAAAACTCCAAGCTTGTAATCTTGTCCTTTCCAAGCAACCCTTGCCTGTTGAGTTCCCTGAGTCCTCCTTCACTAATATGCGCCATCTTCATGTGCCATAACTGAGCTGTTGTAATTCTTGTTTCTAAAACTATTGCAGCAATACCAGCCACAATTCTTCCCAGAAGCACATACAACCTGTTCTAAAGATTTCCTTTCAATACCACCAATGAGCCTTTTGAGAGTCTTAGCAAACCTCCTTTAGCCTTATAGCAGTAACCTTGTGCATCAAGCATACCAAGAGAAATCAAATTTCTCTTGAGTTCTGGGATATGTCTAACACCTTGCAAGCCTCTTTCAACCCCGGCTGCAAGCTTCAGTTTGATGGAGCCAATTCCTAAGACTTGACAAGCCTTATTATTACCCAGTAGTACCTGCCCTCCATTGCCCTTCTTGTAAGAAAGAAACCATTCCTGATGAGGACACATGTAGAATGAGCACCCTGAATCCAAAATCCATTCTGAGTGTGTCGTTTGATCGGTAACACACAAAAGATCAGCACTTTCATACCCATCTGACACCACATCTGCATCACCATCATCTTTAGCCTTTGCACTTGAATGTTTCTTCCTTTCCGGGCAATCTCTTTTGAAATGGCCTTCTTTGTGACAAACAAAGCATTTCCTTTTCCCGGTTCTGGACTTGGATCGAGAATTCTTCCTGTTCTTGAAACCCTTTTCTCCGAACGTCCCTGAACATTCAATCCCTCTGCTGTAGCCTCCATCTTTCCTTCTAATTTCTTCTTCCATTCTTTCAAAAACAAAGCTGTTTGAACCTCTTCCAATGAAAGAGAATCCCTGCCGTAGATTAACGTATCTAACAGATTCTCAAATTCGCTTGGGAGGGATCTGAGGAGCAACAGAGCCTGATCTTCATCCTCAATTTTAATTTCAATATTTTCAAGATCAAGAATGATCTTATTGAAATCGTCCAGATGATCTTCAAGGGATTTTCCAGGCGTCATCTTGAGCGTGTAGAGTTTCTGCTTCAAGAACAACCTGTTCACCAGTGATTTCGTCATGTATAGGTTCTCTAACTTTAGCCAAACACCGGCCGCCGTCTTCTCCTTTGAGATTTCCTGGAGAACCCTGTCGCCGAGGCTTAAAATTAGGGCACCGTGCGCTTTGTCGAGGATGTCCTTTCTTTCCCTCTCCGAGAGCGTGCTTGGGAGATTCTTTTCTCCTCCTAATGCTTCTTCGAGTCCTTGATGAACCAAGAACGCTAGCATCTTCAATCACCAGAGTCTGAAATCATTTTTACCCGTAAATTTCTCAATGTCAAATTTTGCAGCCGCCATTGATGACCAACTCCCGAGCTCTGATACCAATATGTTAGAAAAACAACCTCTACAAAATTCCAGATGAAACAAGAAAAGGAAATCCACTCGCGAAATTGATTTAGACACACCAAGAATAATCTGTTAACCAAAGAACAATTTCCTGGAAACCTCAACACTTTATTATTCAATCAAGAACACAATCCTCTGTACAAGCCTCTTCCCTTGAACAGACTCAAGACTCTCTCTCTCTCTAGAGACTCTTTCTCTCTCTCTCTAAAGACTCTTTCTCCCTCTATAACCGAGCAAAGCCACGCTCTCTAGAAGAAGCAGATCTAATCTCTTATGTACAATTAAATCTCTAATCGAATACAAATTTGGTTAACCCTAAAACTAACTCTGTTAGCCTAAGCTGAATTTGTTAAAACAAATTAGACCACGTGTCTTGTTGTCCTTTTTCCTCTGTGTTGAGTCAAGTAAAATTCCTAGCCACGCACGTCTTTAACATTATTCAAATTTGAAACAAATTTGACATTGGTTGCCTTAAAAACATAACCTAAACAGTTTTTTTAGATTTGAGAAAAAAAATGAAGTATTCTTTATTAACACCTATAACAAGGTTATGTCGTGTAAGAGATATCTATAACTTATTTAGAGAGAGGGAGAGAAGAGAGAGAAAGAGATGTAGCAAAAAAAATAAGAGCTCAAATGGACAGAAAAGTTTTTTTTTATTTTAAGTTTTTTTAAAAAAAATTTTAAATGTTTAAAAAATATTCTAATTTCTTAAAATTGTTGGTTTTTTTTAATTAATAAAGAGGGTAAAAATGTAAGTAACTGTATGAAATTATAAAAAATATAAGTCATAAGATACTTTTTTTTTAAGAAAGTAATTTATATTTGAATATAAGACAGGATAACCAAACAGAAAGCTCAACTTTCTTTTTGTCTCTATTCCATGCCATTCTTATTTTGGTTCCCATTCCAACACCGTTAACCAAAAGTAAGATAGGTACGTTTGGTACGGAGACTCTCATGGTTTGAATTATAATTTTAATTTGAACTAGTATTTATTTAAAAAAATAAAAGGTGATTTGAACTCAGCTCAATAAAAGTAATGTTTAGTTAAAAAAGAAAAGATTCAATATTTAAATTTTGATTTGATGTTCAACTTTTATTTTAAAGATTTTGCATAATTTAAATTATAATTCTTAATTTTATTAGAAAAATTTAAAGCCGTGTTTAGAATTATTCATGTTTTATTTTTTACGTTTTTCGAGAAAAAAAAATAAAACGTTTCTAAAATAGTGTTTAGCGCAATAAAAACAAAAATGAAAATGAAAATGATTTTTTAGTTTAGTGTAAAATGAGAGAGAAATGAAAAATGACTTTTAGTCATTTTTTATTTTTTGTTTTCATTTTCTCATCTCTCGAGTAGAGAGAGAGACATTAATAAGTTTTTTTATACTGAAAATAATATCTTGATAATATCAAACGCATTTTTAAAAATGATTTATGTCTGACATTAAAAACATTTTTATTATCATTTTTATACAAAAAATAAAATCATTTTAGAACGAGTTCCATACGCACCCTAAATTTTAAAAAGTGAGAATTAAAATCAATATTTGGTTCATGGATTCAAAATTATGATTTAAAATTATTTTTAATTTATATGTATTTTTTATAAAAAAAAATACTGTAACGAATCACGAACTATAGTTCAAATCATGAACTAACCACACGAGTTTAAAACCCACGGACAAAAGGACCATCGCAAGTATTTTTCGATCAAACTTTTATAGCCGTTAGTACCCTCTTTGCGTCTCTTTCTGCGTCTCTTTCTCTAAAAGAGAAAGTTGCGCTACAGAGACCAGAGAGGTGAGGTTAAGGCAAAGCCATGCTCAGAATATTGTCAAAGCTAAGGCTCTCTTCCTCTTGCTCTTCTGTTTCTCTTCTCATTAATCAAAATCAAAATCAAATTAAAAAGAAAAATGCGCTTCTTCTTTTTCTTATGCCACATTCATCATCAACAAACCCTAACGGCGGCGGCGGCCAAAGACGGTGGATACAGACGGCGGCGGCGGCTGCGAGGGAGGCTCATTTAGGTACAGAAGCAGTTCTGGAGTCTGTTGTTAAGATATTCACCGTCTCAAGTAGCCCCAACTACTTCCTTCCATGGCAGAACAAATCCCAGCGCGATACCACCGGCTCTGGTATGTCTCTTTCCTCGCCTTTGCTTTCTCTAACATGTAATAATCTTCTCTTTCCTCAACGAGAATAATTTCAATCAGTGATTTGATTTCAATACGTATGTATGTACGTATTTGTAGGATTTGTAATCCGTGGGAAAAGGATTGTTACAAATGCACATGTAGTGGCCGATCACACATTTGTGCTTGTAAGAAAGCACGGCTCTCCCACCAAATACAGAGCCCAAGTCAAAGCCGTCGGCCACGAGTGCGATTTAGCCATTCTCACTGTTGAAAACCAGCATTTCTGGGAGGACGAGGATGAGGACGGCCGCAACTTTCTCGAATTCGGAGAAATTCCGCTCCTTCAACAAGCCGTGGCGGTCGTTGGATATCCCCAGGGAGGAGACAACATATCCGTCACGAAAGGCGTCGTTTCGAGAGTGGAGCCGACGCAGTATGTTCACGGCGCGACACAGTTGATGGCCATTCAAATCGATGCTGCCATTAATCCTGGGAATAGCGGTGGCCCCGCAATCATGGGAAACAAAGTTGTTGGTGTGGCTTTTCAAAACCTGTCTGGTGCTGAGAATATTGGGTCTGTCTTAACTTCTCAATTCAAGTTGCTTCAAACAAGATTTATTAATGATCAAGTTCTTTTCTTTTTGCGTTGGATTGATTGCAGTTATATAATTCCTGTTCCAGTGATTAAACATTTTATAGATGGTGTGGAGGAGTGTGGAAAATATGTCGGGTTCTGCTCTATGGGTTTGTCGTGTCAGCCAACTGAAAACGTTCAACTTAGAAACTACTTTCGGATGCGTGACGACATGGCCGGCGTGCTAGTGAGCAAAATTAACCCTCTTTCTGATGCAAACAAGGTTTTGAAGAAAGATGATATTATTCTTGCATTTGATGGAGTGCCTATAGCAAATGATGGAACAGGTAGCCACAGCTCACCTTTTTATTCCTTTACGAACACGTCTTTTTCATTCTTAAGTTGACAACTTATGGCTTGAAATAAAAATAGGAAACGGAGAAGATAGAATTGGATTTATGAAAATGCTTTGAACAACAAAGGGAGTTGTTTTTGTTTGGCCCTTGTTTCTAATACTTTTGTCATGATTTCTGGCCTGTTGTGCAGTTTGTTTCAGAAATAGAGAGAGGATAACATTTGATCATTTGGTCTCAATGAAGAAACCAAAGGAAACAGCTGTTGTTAGAGTTCTGAGAGATGGTGAAGAACACGAATTCTTTATCACCCTTCGACCTGTAAGTCGTTGATTTCTTGTATGTATGTCTGTTTGAGCTGTGACTTTTGTTGTTTTTGATTCATGAAAGGGACCAAATGAAGTGTCCATAAATCCTGGGATGCGAAATTGATTAGTGTAGATAAGATGGGTTTTCCCCCAATCCTCTCCCTAACCTATATGTACTAGGTTTCGGGGGAAAATATATATATAACCAGCACTGGCACAGAGAATGCCGCTTCATGTTCAATCGAGATTGGTTGAATATCCAAAAATAAAGTAGCAGTATTCAGGTATAAGTAGAATCATTCAGATAAGGTTTTGCTTATCTTTTTTCTGTTTGCAAAGCCATTGAATGTGAAAACCATATGAATTAAATACACACAGCCAGAGAACCATGGAATTTTTCTCAGCAGCTGTTGGGTCCTTGGTTGAACTTCAGATGTATCATCTTTATTATTGAGGGTACTAACATTCAGATTTATTCTAATCAGCTTTTCATATGCTCCTGGTGCATTTAAAACATTTCCTTCATCTTCGTCATGCTCAAGATTTCTGTTTTATGTTTTTCCATAACATTTATGTTGAACCTCTAAATCAATAGAACTTGCAAAAAAAAAAAAAAAAGAAAAACCATTATCAATAGCAATACACTAGCAAGAGATATTTCAATGAACTTCCTGATTCTTGTCAAAAAACCAAATGGAATTAATTGCATTTTTAATTTGTGCACAGACCTTTCATACCGTTCAATCCTAGAATCTTGAACTTACGATCCTGTTAGTATAAGGCTTTGTTGTGCTGATAACAAATATTCGTGGGGCCTATTTAATAATAAACGAACATAATCATCGTTGTTTAAACTTGACAACTCTGCAGTTGCAACCATTAGTTCCGGCTCATCAGTTTGATAGGCTTCCAAGTTATTACATTTTTGCCGGTTTGGTATTTGTTCCGCTCACCCAACCATACCTTCACGAGTATGGAGAAGACTGGTACAACACTGCACCACGTAGTTTATGCCAAAGGGCACTTCGGGAACTCCCCAAAAAGCCTGGGGAACAGCTTGTCATCCTTTCTCAGGTTTGGTTTGTTTGCTCACAGGTTTTTCATGTGCAATGTTTTTTTGTTTTTTGTTTTTTACCGTTAATTAGACACTGTTTTGGTGACATGCTTTGTTAACTTCAGGTGCTAATGGATGATGTCAATGCTGGCTATGAGCGCCTTGCAGAATTACAGGTGCCAGCTTCCCTATACGTTATGTGTGTGTGTGTGTGTTTTCTTTCTTTTATATGTCTTCTTTTCCCCTACTTAGTTATACTGTAATTAACATCCATTGGAGTTATGAAACTTGTAATTTTGCAGGTTAAGAAGGTGAACGGGTTAGAAATAGAAAATCTGAAACATTTATGCCAACTTGTGGAGAACAACACAGAGGATAATGTGCGGTTTGATTTGGACGATGAGAGGGTTATTGCATTGAACTATAATTCGGCTAAAATTGCTACTTCCAAAATTTTGAAGTGGCATCGGATACCTTCCGCAATGTCTAAAGATCTTGCCGATGAGAAGAATTAGAGATCCTAAGGTTTGCTTAAGATATGATGCAACCAAATGAAATAGAGGAAATTGAACTTCTTTTTCTGATGTACATTGTTTCGGCTTAAAAGTGCTTTAAAATTTCTGCTTTATTATATTAATTGCCTAATGTATTACCTGATTATGCAAATGGTAGCCAATAACGCATAATAAGTGGGGGTTTTTTTTTTCAACACGTTGTTCACTTTCGTACTGTTTCTTGGAGGAATTGACTTTGTTATAATGAATTTTACGAAAGTAAAGAATGGTTCTTGCCGTTCCGAAGTTTTGTTTTATTTATTAACTTTAGTGCAAGTGTTGGTTTATGATTGGTCCTAGATTTATGGTTTAAAATGCCCGTCACATTTTATATCCAATATATATCCAATCATGAATCGCCACACATAAAACCAAACAACAATTTTAAAACCTATTTCCAATGACATTTTTAAAAACATTTAAATTAATGTTTTCCAAACACCGCATGCATAATATATTGGGAAAAAGAAACAAATGCCTCTTAAAATTTATGAGTTAAATTTGTATCTCTTGCACTTCATTAATATTTTCTTGTCAAAAAACTATGTTAGTTAAAAGATATATTAATTAAGAATAAATAGTAAAAATATATTAATCAATAATAAATAGTAAAAACTTTAGAACAATACTTTTTAAAGAGTGAGCTCCCCAATTTTATCGCACATATATATTTGATGCGTCACAACAAAGCAGAACGCTAACTCACAAGTACAGTACGCAACAGTGACGCCCACATGAAGGACATTTGGTTCTCGCATCATACCACTTGCCGAGCCCCTTTTCACCCCTGACCAACCAATCAATATAATAATTCTATCAAGAAAATAATCAATAAAACTAACTCTCAAAAACCAAATATAGCTCATCCGGCAAAAAAAAAAAAAAAAAAAAAAAAAAAAAAAAAGAGTTTTCCCGGAAAAAAAAAAAAAAAAAAAAAAAAAAAAAAAAAGAGAGGAAGAAGAAGAAGTTCAATATCTCGTTCTCTATACGAAGCTCAAAAAACACATTGCAATATCTGCTATACATCCGAAAGGAACATAACAAATCTCTGACGCAAAGTGAAAGAATGACCCCATGTGAATGTTTGATTTCTATGTACATCAAAACTAACGAATTCAATGCTTTGAATTGGAAAACTAAGCTTACATTTCATGTGTTATCTCTAATATGAACTTTTCCCTTAATGTTACTATCTGTTTGAAGCATCACCACCCTACTCCGGGCAATATTTTCGGTTCATATCATTACGTTTCCACTTCAAAGTAGACCGACCATAAGGGTAACCCCAGGAAAGCCAGCTACATACTGTCGGACCAATAATTCCTCTCATAAACTTAGTTCGTTTCTTCCTTTGACGAATAAGATAAAATGCCTTATCGACATCTCCAAAATTGTCCTTGCCGTACGCCTACCCTTTTGGTGCGGGATATAGCTCTAGTGGCATAGCCTCCTCAGCTCTGAGTTTCAACACTTATTCTTCACGTATCCATCTTGGAACTGACATAGGATTGAACAATTCGTGGTGCAATCAGGAGTCCGATTTGGATGCAGTGAAGGATGAAAGAAGACCTGCAGCTTGGGCTGGTAGAATATCGCCAAATGTTGACATTGCCGCAGTGGATCTGTCTTTGAATATACCCACTTGCCCATCTGTGAGTATGGATCCCAATTTCAGCGTGCTTCCTCCAAATTTGCTACCAACCTGTCCATCAAAAGAAAAATCATGTTCAATTTTTATGTATGTGTGTATGTATAACTAGGCAACATAGAAACCCTTCAGGTTCTTCCTCAAAATGAAAGTGAAACCAGTGTGTGTGATGCATAAACGCCAAACTGAATTTCCTAACAACATTTTTGGATACGTGTAACAGATTAACCACTACACTATGCAATTTCAAGATTATGAAAGATTGCAACTGTCATAACAATAAGACATTTGCCTTAACAGTGACAAACTTATATCAAGCTGGTTTGCACATTTCTGATGGCCCGTTTATCAGGCATGGGGCCTACAGGAAATACAAGAGGTGGCACCAATGCGTAAGCATTTAGATTCCTCACTTGGCACTGGACCCGCTTTTCTTTTTCAGTAAAAATTAACTGGGGCTGGATGAAAACTTGATCTTTGTAAATTTTCTTAAGACATAGTAAGACATTGCAATATTGACCTAATATACGAGTTAAATAACAAGAGCTTCAAATGAAAAAACAGTGGAACAAACAAAACAATTGTCTTGCATTTTCTAAAGAAACAAGACTCCATCTCTCCAGGTGCATCCAGGCAACAGGTAACACTGTTATCTAACCTTTTTATTTAAGTTCCTACACCCCTCCGTACTTTGTTCAGGTTTCAATTCAACAGTCTTAAACCTATATAACCAGATCTATGTAACAAAAGTGGAATTCAAAATTGCCACTGAAATTGCCACGTATACATGTAAATCTGATATCAAATGGCCACAGCAACATAGCATGGTCAGGAACGTCCATATACATGACAAAGTTCAAGATTCTAAATGTTAAGACGCAAATACGATGAAGTATCATAAATGAGAATTCAAAAAGTTGAATACGCTTACCTGCATAAAAGATTTTAAGAAAGGTGTAGCAACCCCAAAACTAGAGCTGTCATCCATATCAATCTTCTCAGAAAGGTCACCATTTGTGTAAGCTTTCCAGGAACTTCTTGAAGATATATCTTCCGCAGATGTTGAAAGAGATGCCTTAGTTGTCCCTCGTGAAGACAATGCAGGAGCACTGGATAACAAAAATAAGTAGCAATTTATATACTCAATAATATGGCACTAAGCCTACCAGGTTGTAATCAGGAAGCTGGTAGTGGAGGACTCCAACAAAAAACAACACCAGCATCGTATCAGTGACGAAAATTGAGACAAAGTAGACCCTCGATTCAGGTTTAGGGTAAGTTGAATCGAATTAGACAATAGACTTTGTGCTAAGTTACTCAAAGCTCAGAAAGTTGTACCAACATACAAGAAAGCTAACCTGATAGGAAGGTATTTGAAGCGAGGAACAGAAGAACATCTCATGATATTGGACTCCGAATTAGTAGGTAGTTTCTGAACAGTATCTGTGTACAAGCGATTGAGCTGTACAAAGAAACCAAAGAGGACAGCATGCCGTTGGTATGATTGCCTCTCATTCTCCCAGAGATATGGCTCATACCTTAAAGAAGTGAAGCAAATCAGAAAACTACATCAACGGAATCAAAATACTTGAATGGCTTCTCTCTGTTTCTTAATTAGGAAAAATAAGATTTTTTATCGGGGCGGGGGGAAGCCGGGGGGCACTACAAGAATGAACAAAGAAGATTTCATTTTCTTTTAATCATTAAAAGAAAATAACATCTCAAGCGGGAATGGGAACAATATAATAACCAACTTGGAAGCTGTAAATAGAAGTGCACAAAAATAAAGGTTGAGTTTCGTTACATTTTTATCCCATTCCATTGTATGTAAAAGTTGAAACTTCCACCTGATGGAAGTGCAGCCATGTGATTAGATCACAATCTAGTTTGGTGATTCGCTACCAAAATATACAATGATACTTTGGAGTGATGTTACTCAGCAAAACATATCCCATCAGAAAATATTATATTTATATATATATATATATATATATCATTCATCAAGGCTCAAACTTAAGTATGTGCTTTAATTCTCATACTCCGCTAATTCAAATTTCACCACATGAAAATGCATGAATTGCAAAAAAATCTCAACCAATAACTATCAGCCAAAAGCTCTTACTGACATATCCCAGGCAATAACTGAAACTCCTGCTAGTAATCATTCCCATAAGAGATACTCCTCTAAGAATAGCCGTGGGCAAGAAAATGCACGCAATAAAACAGCTGTATAGCAACTTTGGGGCGGTGGCCATAAAAATACATATAGACTTACGTAAGCCAGTCAATCGGATCCAATCTTTGCGAAAGATGAGTTATCAAGCCATTGATACGCTCTCTGACCACAGACTTTGTCTGTTTCAAATCCTGTTTCCGTCTGAAAGGAACTTTAGCTCTTGGAACTTTCAATGACTCCTCAATCAAATTTGAATCACCTCCTGAAAGAACATCGGCAACAAATCTCAAGTCTAATAAGACCTGCAAGACTCCTTTTTCTGACATTTGAGATCCACTGGCCTCTTTCGTGGATAGAAAGTTCCCATAAACAGCGATAACCTATAAGAAAGGTTGGTAGTCAATAACGCATTGTGGCAGGTAATTATGGGTTATATCGCACCTGATTCCCCAGAAACAAGAAACCATCACATCAATGAAGGAATGCAAGTATAGTTTTCAACTTGAGTTCATAGTTAACATGGAAATATATCACGGATAAGGGCCATGGGAGAAAAAAAGATGGATAGAAAATGAGGGAGAGAAGAGAGAGAAAGAAAGGAACAAAAACTACAGAGAGAGAGGATCGAGATAAAAAAATTCTCTATAATCTGTGTTTCTTTCAATTGAATATCTAAAACGCTAAACAAAATCAAGTCTATTTTTGGACAGGCAATCCTAATAACAAGGAAATTCAAGAGACTAAACTAGAATAACAGACTATAAGAAATAGGCAAACCAAAATATAACAAATTTTCAGAAATGAAAACCCAAGGAAGCACGCAAATATAAATCAATAAGAGAGTAATAAAAAGGACAACGCCCAAAATAGCGCAATGACTTACGCTTTCCTAATCACTTCTGCTATTAGAAGTAAATAATAATAATAACAACAACAACAACAATAATAATAAATAATAATTATAAATCAAATGCCTAAGACTGCTTGGTCTAGTGGCACTGGGGGGTTTGGGAGAGGTTGCGAATTTAATCCTGTGTTTTATAAAATAATAATAATAATAATGAGTTGTCTATAGTCCCTCAGTTTGAAAATGGGGGACAAGTCCCATATGCGCCATCGTAATGGGGCCATGTGCCAATCATAACCGGCTGAAAGCCTAGCGTAATTCTCTTATATTGAGTCGTAACAGTTACTATTTTGAAAACCAGAAGTCGTTTTTAAACAGATAGCAATAAACGACTGTCATGTACACCTATCATGAATAATTATATGAAAAATATTAAAAGGCACATCAATAAACGACTATCGTTTTTACTGTTAATATCAGTCGTTCCATCATAACTAACTGTCGTTTTAAACTTGAATAATATTGTCGTGAAGAATTACATCTGTCATGTTCTTTTTTTTATAGGCACATCTGGTCATGCATGAACATTTGTTTGGAGCAGTACATGCCAGTGTTTTATTTGCCATATGTTTAAAAATGACTTTTGGTTCTAAAATAGTAATTGATACGACTTAATACAAGAGAATTACGCTAATCATTTAACCGGTTACGCTAATCCTTTAACTTTTTACAATAGGGGAAATTTCCCCCATAAAAATGGTGAGGGACCACACAAAAAAAGCCTATAATAAACTGGATAAAGAAATTTAAAGAATTGAACATTTAGGAAAGTAAATTACCTTTTCAAATAGGCTTAGTGCAAGATTTTGCAAAATTGTCCGGTCAAGTACATGACCTCCAATCCTGTGAACTTCTTCACATGCACGGAATAGAAATGACACAATATAGAGAGAAGGCATAGATGGGAGCAATATTTTCATCTCTGAATGGCTATCATTAGACTGATCTTGTTTGACTACAGTCTCTTCCCAGCCCTACCCAATAATTTAGAAAAATTTGTCAAAAGAAGTCAATTTTAGGCAAACGATACCATTCTTAAAGCACACAAAGCTTTAAATCAACAAATCACAGGCAAAAAACCAAATAATATAAATATGTAAACTGCCAAAAGAACTAACAGAACTTCTACTGTCCATTTTGTCCAAAAGGGTGAAAACTGAAGCTCATAAGTCATGACGAAATTCAACCAACTGATAAGCCTCCAATTTGATTCACCTATGCAAGGCGTGCCAAGCACGTGGCCTTGCTAAGGAATTAGTTATGCAAAAGGTGTGTGGGGTAGGCGTGCATTGGGATGGGTGTTTTTTCTATTAGATTAAGCGAATAATGTGTCGGGGACATATTTAGTGTGTGAGGCAGGAAAGATTTTGTTCCTTTGCCTTTAGCCTTGGGAGAGAGTGAACCTTGCAAAAGCTCACAACTCTATCTTTCCTCTATATTGCTTAATTCCTCTCCTAAAATCAAGTGATACAAAATCAGAATTTACTCTCAAATACTAGATCTTATCAGAAACCTAAGAGAGGCCAGCTCAAATTTAAAAAAAAAAAATTAAATTAAATTAAACCACATAGCAATTTAAAAATATTGGTTCCCACTTTTCATTATGTTTCAACCTCACTCCATATTCTGCTCACCAACAAAAACTTGACCCACCACCAAATTATCATTCTCTGGTTCAGTTTACCAATTGGCAGAGGGGATTAAACTGAGCTATCGTACTAGAAATCCATACACATATAGCAATCATATTATCAATAATCAATCTTTCATAAGCCACAAACTCCATCACAGATTTCTAACAACCACAAAAGCTCTATCCAACTACATGTCTCCCTGACACCTTTGCCTTACACAGTCTCCTAACAAAATCCCATGATCCCTCGTGATCATAATCATACACCCCACTGAATTGTATGATCGCATTGGATGTTATTTGAACAAAAACCTTATGTTTCCTCTGTTTGTTCTATTGCTAAAAACTAACTGTTTCTATGATTTGGCAGCTTTATTTCCAGCTATATTCTAAATTTTTTTCCCCACGTCTCTTTTGCCAAAAAGATATTGAAGGCGACGACCCCCAACTTCCTACATGTTGGTGGATTCGCACATTGCAGATTTGGAGCAGTTACTTCATAAATAGTACCATCCTTTTCACTTATCATCTTATTTATCCAAATAGTTGTTCCATTCTGAATCATAATACTTCCTGGCTGGTTTCCAACTCAAATCAAACCATCCCATATACACTCGTGTCAAGACTAACTAGTATATAAGCTTTGATCCGTTTTAGATTAAGCTCGTGACAATGTTACTAGAATCATTAATTTATAGACGATCAAAATCCTTTTCACTAAACCTCTGATCCAAACAGTTGTTCCGCTCAGATAATTATACTTCTAGCAGTTTTTATATTATTCTTTCAAGGGAACATGCGCGAAATGAAAAACCATCATGTGTATATACAAAACAAAACAAAACAAAACAGTAGTGCTGAGCAAAATGGCACATACCCGCAAGGGAGCTGTTGATGTCAAAGCATCATCTTGCTCAAGCTCACGTGATAGAATAATAGAGAGCTCGTTAGACAACCACGATATCCACAATCCATTAGCTCGAATGCAAAGGTCTCGCAAAGTCGAAGTGAGTTCCTCTAGTTTGGGGCTCGCGCTTTCATCCGCCCCAAGCAATGCGGCGGTAGCCAACGAAGTATGCCTTTTCGAGCCAGCGGACGCTCGTCTTGCCTCACCATCAACAACTGAAGAATCAGCCCGCAACAACAACGGTAATCTATCAAAAACCACAGACACGGTTTCATTGACCCAAAACCTTGGAGGACCCAAAATCACAGGAACATGCTTTGAGTGGTTGAGAAATGCAAACAACAGTCTTCCAACGAAAAGAGCCCTCTGGACTCCTTCCTTGTCTTGCCCACCTCCCATGGCAGCTTCCTCTAGATCATGAATCTCCTGTTTGAGTTGCTTCAATATAATGGAAAGACTATCATAACACTTGGATTGCAGATATGGGGCCAAAGCCTTTAGCCTAAGAGATGCCTTTGGAGATTCCAAGAAACTCAGAACATCCTCAAGAACACTCTGGCAACAGTTATCCACAGCATCTCTTATCCCACTAATTTGGGGACCAAAATACGCATTGAGACAACTCTTGAACTCATTACTCTCTTCAGGAGAGCTTTTCGCTTTTAACCCAGATAGTGAAACCTTCTTAGCATTGGAGTCTACAAACCAAACGCCACCAAAACCAAGCCCACATTCACCACCAACGGCTTCTCCTCCCACCGCATTCACAACGCTCGCCATTTCTCCGAACCTTGAATCGACGATTGCCTTCATCCTCCCCACAAATGCGTCCTCAAGAATATCGTCCCACAGATCGGAATCATCTCCCAGAACAAGCTCACGCATCCGACTCCACGGCAACTCGATCTCGGAAGATCCTCCGAAAACGCTTCTCAGCCATTCCAGGCTCCCTCCCAAGACCTCCTTGCTCTCCATCGTCTCCCTTATCGCCTTCTCGGCGGCAGCGAGCTCTCGGCCGCTTCCCACGGCGTCAATGAGAAACCTCCCGTTGATCTTGGCAACCATCTCTCTTCCACATTCCCTCACCCACGAGGAGCATGCCTTGGCAATGCAGTCTCTGTCGAGAATCGCCATGGCGGACTCAAGCTGATCCCTAAATGAGTTCCAAAGCTTGACCTCCTCTTCCGGATAGGGAATTCCGCCGAACAGCTGAGACGCGGGAGGAGAACCCAGCACGACCCTGTAAAACAGGGGCAATTCGTTCAAAACCCTCAAGAAAAGCTCTCCGACTTGCCCAACCGTCACCTGAATCGTCCTCAGAACCTCAAGGAAAACCCTAACGACGTCATCATCCTCATCGGAATCCCTATTCAACAACGTCTGCGAAATCCACGTCTTCCTGCTCTCGAGAAACAGAGACAGATTCCGTTCCGGAGAGAGATCGTCGATTACGGAAACAGAGGCCATGGCGTCGGCGTAGGATCCGATCGGGAGATCTCGATCGGAGAGACGATCTCTGGCGCGCTGCGAGATCTGAGCCTTAAAGCCGTCGACGATCTGCCATTGATGCTGCAGAAGAACTCCGAATCGGCGGCGATCGGAGTCGTTGAGATCGGCATTGAGACGGAGATGAACATGTTTGGAACGTACGAACCTGGAAGCGGCTTCAAGGAACATGGACTCGTCAAGGCAACCCCAGATGTGCTCGGGAGCGTCGACGAGGTACTTAACGCGACAGGCCATGGCGTAGATGCGAGATCTCTGAGATTCCTCATTAGAAGAAGAATCATTTCTGTCATTAGGAATGTGATTGTGAGTGTGAGGAGTGAGGGAAGAGAGAGAAAGTTGAATTGAGGAGAGATTGGAGGAAATGGAAAGAGAGGATTGTTTCATAAGAAGAATGGAGTCGGCGGAGTCGATGAGATCGCGATAGCGAGTGCCGACGAGACGGCGGAGATCGTCTTGCTTCTGCTGAATGAGAGAGCGAGTGGTGGATTCGGCAGTTCGGATCTCGGAGATTGGTTTGGACCGGAAGAGGGATTCGGCGTCTCTGTAACCGCCGCCGCTAAGGCTGGCCCTCTGGAGGCCGTCGTCCACCGGAACAACTCTCATTGCTGCTCCTGCCTTTGTTTTCTTTTTCTGTCTCTGGAGTTTTGTCTGAATCACGAACGACGAGCAACAAACTAAGGTTGGGTTGTATTTGGCATTTCGCAGTTGGTGATGGTTCTCAACCGACACGACGTGTCGTATCAGCAACAGATCTGTTTCTTTTTCTTTTCTTTTCTTTTTTTTTACATAAATAAATTTGTCTGAATAATGAACCGAGAGAATAGTATTTGGTGAATTGTCCCTTCCAAACAAAAAAAAAGGATGAATAGGAAATAAATTCTGACAAAAATGATCAACCTTTTTTACTTTTTTAGGGGAAATGTTCAACGAATTATGACATCATTCACTTCGTAAATTTGAGTTTTTAATTCGAGTTGAGATATGATATTTTTTGAGAGTTTTTCACTGTAGTATAAAAAATTAGATGTAACATTTTTTAAGAATTTTTTACTGTAAAAACCTAAAATTAAAAACTCAAATCGGTAAAATGAACGAGATCTATATTTCTCTGAATAACTGCCATTCAACAAAATCATTAGAAATTATAAATGGAGAAAGACAGATGCATTTTGAATGATTTTTTTTATAGATCACAAGATGTTTTGAAGGGTTTTAAAAGTTAAGAGAGCATTTTGAAAAATAATGGGCATGTTTGTTTGTGTTTTCATTTTCGTTTTTCACGGTTTTCAAAGCAAAAAAATAAAAATAGGTGTTAAAAACGTGTTTGGTGCAAATTTTTTTTAAAAACAAAATCAAAAACGTTTTTGTCTTTTTGTGGAAATCAGAAAACGAAAAAAAAAAA